TGCAGCGTCTCCGCGTTGCGGAGCTGGCGATCCAGGGCCCGGGCCTTGCAGGTAGGGCACAGGGTTTAGGGTTTAGGGTTTCGGGCTTAGGCTTTTAGGGTTTCGGGTTTAGGGTTTAGGGCTTAGGGCTTGGGGGTGTAGAGGGTTTAGGGTTTAGGATGTAGGGTTTAGGGTTTTGGGCTTTGGGTTTAGGGTCAGCAAGAAAGGGCTTTTTGGGGCTTAGGGTTTATTAGGGTTTCGGGCTTGGGGTTTGGAGTTTGGGGCTTGGAGCCTAAGGTTTGGGGTTTAGGGTTCAGGCTTTAGGGTGCAGGTTCCCTAAACCCTAAACCCTAAACCCTAAACCCTAAACCCTAAACCCTAGACCCTAGACCCTGAACCCTAAACCCTAAAGCGCATGAGGTGTTCATGTTCTTTGGCAGAAGCCCAGGGCTGCACAGGATCCACTGGGTGAAGGTGGCGCATGTTGTGTGTGTTGGTTTAGGCTTTCGGGCTTAGGGTTTTCGGGTTTAGGGTCTAGGGTTTAGGGTTTAGGGTTTAGGGTTTGGGGTTTAGGGTTTAGGGTCTATAGGGTTTAGGGTTTAGGGTTTAGGTTGGAGTTTGGGGTGTAATTCGGGCTTAGGGTTTACGGTCTGGGGTTTAGGGCTCCGGGGGGCTTGGTGCTCATTTCTTGGAAGCCTTTGCAGCAGCTCTGTCACTGCTTGGGGTCTATTTCTTGAGCCTACCGCGATAAACCCTAAACCCTAAACCGCATTTTACCTAAGGCCCGCCCAGAATCTTCTAAGCTTCTTCTGGTCCTTCTTAGGTACCCTAGATTCCCCTGTATAACCCTCAATGTAGAGGGTTTTGGGGATTATGATAGTATAATTCTATAAAGGGACCATAAGGGAATACTTTTAGTATTTATTCCGACCCCTATAGTAAGGGACTTTAGAGGGGACCTGGTTGCCAAAAAACCCTAGCAGCCTCCTCTTTCTGCTTCTCCAATCCGAATGGGCTTGTGCTCAGGACAATCTCACCAGAGTCGTTCATCGAGTAGCATGAAGGCAAACTGTGTCTGCAGCCGTGCCGACAATGATGTCCTCTATGGCTTTATTCCGGTGGTGCATGCGAAAATTGCCCTTGGCACTGCCGCGTCTGTCTCAGCCTTAGCCCTCGCTCCAAACAGACTTCAATGAGCAGGCATTAGCATGCATCTACTGCCCATGTGCGGATTGGCAGTTCAGGTTTAGGCTTTACGGACTGAGGACTAAGGCCCTAAACTTTGGGGGCTCAGGGCGCACGCTTGAGGTTAGGGATCAGGATTTAGGGCTTAGGGTACCGGTATAGGGTTTAAGGTTGAGGGCTTAGGGGTTCAGGGTGTAGGTTTAGTTAGGGCTCGGGGTACTTTACAGTATGGGGTTAGGGTTGAGGGCTTAGGGTTTTAGGCGCAGGGTGCAGGGCGTAGGGTGCCTTGGGTGTCAGGGCCGAGGGTTAGAGTCCGGGCTTTAGGGTTTCAGGGTCTTGGGTTTACGGCTGTGACTTGGCTGGGTTTAGGGTTTGAGTCTAAACCCTAAGCCCTAACCCCAAACCCCAAACCAGAAACCCTAAACCCTAAGCCCAAAACCCTAAACTCTAGGGTTTCGGGTTGTGCCCTGGGCTTCGGGCTTAGTGTTGATATTTGCGGGCAGTTTGGGTTTTCTGGCTTTGGTGTGTATGGTTTGGGAGGGTGCAGGGTCTATGGGTGAAGGGTTTTGGCGGTGTTCAAGGGTGTGGGCAGGGTATACTCGAGCCTTTCAGCCACCCCTCCTCAACCGTAGCCCTAAACCCTAAACCCTAAACCCTAAAGCCTAAAGCCTAAAGCCCTAAACCCTAAACCCTAAACCCTAAACCCTAAACCCTAAACCCTAAACCCTAAACCCTAAACCCTAAACCCTAAACCCTAAACCCTAAACCCTAAACCCTAAACCCTAAACCCACACCAAAGTCGCCTCTTCGGACCGCCTCCCCGCAGCCCGAAAGATTGGAGGCGGCACCTGTGGTTCAGGGTTTAGGGTTTAGGGTTTAGGGTTTAGGGTTTAGGGTTTAGGGTTTAGGGTTTAGGGTTTAGGGTTTAGGGGTTTAGGGTTTGGGGTTTAGGGTTTAGGGTTTAGGGTTTAGGGTTTAGGGTTTAGGGCTCAGGGCTCAGGGTTCAGGGTTTAGGGTTTAGGGTTGAGGGTTCAGGGTTCAGGGTTCAGGGTTTAGGGTTTAGGGTTTAGGGTTTAGGAACAGGGTTTAGGGTTCAGGGTTCAGGGTTTAGAGAGCTGAGGGTTTAGGGTCTGGGATTTCGGGTTGGGGGTTCAGGGTTCAGGTTTTAGGGTTCAGGGTTTAGGGGCTTAGGGTTTAAGGGTTCGTTAGGGTTTGAGGCTAAGGGTGTAGGGACTGTTTGGGGCTTGGAGCTTAGGGCTTAGGGTTTAGGGTTGAGGGTTGGGGGTTGAGGGTTGAGGGTTGAGGGTTTGGGGTTTAGGGTTTAAGGTTTAGGACTTAGGGTTGCTTAGGGTGTTTAGGGGTCCCCCTGATGTAGACAAAACACGTTGGCTCCGCGCGAGCTTTCGCACCCCAAACCCCTCACCCTAAACCCCTCTCCCTAGATGACAACTACCCATGGGCCCTAAACCCTAAACCCTAAACCCTAAACCCTAAACCCTAAACCCTAAACCCTAAACCCTAAACTCTTCTTCAAGGTTTCGGGAGCTAGGATTGGGCAGTTCGGGCGGGCCTACTGGCTTGCTTAGAGTGTGGCTCACTTAAATGAAGCTATTAGGACTGGAACTTGAGCCGGTACACCCGGTACACCCTAAACCCTAAACAGTAAACCCGAAATCCAAATTTAAGCCCTAACCCCTAAACCCTAAACCCTAAACCCCAAACCCCAAACCCTAAACCCTAGACCCTAAACCCTGAGCCCAACCAAAAACCCCCTATAGGTTAGATGCCAAGCAAGGCCCAAAGCACAAAGCGAGGCTTCGCCCAAAAGCTGTCGTGGTAGAAGGAGTGCTGCTGCTGACCTCCGGTTTAGGGTTTAGGGTTTAGGGCTTAGGGTTTAGGGCTTAGGGTTTAGGGTTCAGGGTTCAGGGTTCAGGGTTTAGGCTTAGGGATCAGGGGGATCAGGGTTTAGGGTTGAAAATGGTTCATTAAGGCTCTCAATGGCTTCTGGGGCTTTCAGGGTTTTAATGGTCTAAAATTGTGTTCAGGGCGCATGCGGCTCGGGGGCTTCCTGGACTGGGTTTGGGGCTTCGGTTTATCGAATTCGGGCTTAGGGTTGAAGTTCAAGGCTTACACAACAAATGAGAGGATCTAGGCGTTCAAGGTTTACAGGGTTTCTCGACTACAAAACCCTACAAACCCTAAACCCTAAACTTAAGCCCTAGACCCTAAACCCTGACCCCTAGAACCCTAAACCCTAAGCCCTAAACCCTAAGCCCTAAACCCTAAACCCTAAACACTAAACCCAAGCGCCAGCTTGCCACCTCGCGATCCGTTGGCCGCAAGGCGCGATGGAGGGCAGCTGCTGCTGCGGCTGCCTCCACCTCATCTGTCCGGTTTTGCCCTGAGCTTATGGGGTTCTTAAGGGAGGGTTTAGGGTTTAGGGTTTAGGGTTTAGGGTTTTAGGGTTTTAGGGTTTTAAGGGTTTTAGGGTTTTAGGGTTTCGGGTTTAGGGTCTAGGGTTGATGGGGTGTAGGAACCTTGGGGAAGCTTAGGCAGGCTTAGGGAGTAGTGGGGAGCATTAGGGAACCTATTGTTCCATGCCCCACTCATCCGCCACGGATGAAAAATTAACCTGCAACAACCCTACCCGAAGAACTACCCCACTCAGTCACCCGAAAAAAACTAGCCCTAAGCCCTAAACCCCAAACCCTAAACCCTAAACCCTAAACCCCAGGAATCCAACTCCGCGGAACCCTCCGGGCAAGGCGCTGCTGTAGCCGGGGGGAGGCACGGCAGCCGGATCCGGTGGGTCCTCTGCATATATATGTGTAGGGTTTAGGGTTTAGGGTTTAGGGTTTAGGGTTTAGGGTTTAGGGTTTAGGGCTTAGGGTTTAGGGTGTAGGGTTTTGGGTTTTGGGTTTCAGTCTTGGGTCTGAGGGTAGCTTCATGGGCCTTCAATATGGCCCCCAACCTCCTTTAAACGGTTCTGATGTATGGACCCTCAATTTGTATAGGGTATATAAGGGGTTCATAAAGGGCGCCCTTTACTCTTAGAGGTGCATGGCTGGAGGGCGACTGGGTGTTCGGGATTGTGTGTGTAGGGTGCCGGGTCGAGGGCTTAGGGAACCGCAAGCCGTGTGTTCGAACGATGTTCACAGATGCTTGCATCTAGACACGCACAGAAAAGGCAATCGCATTCGCTATTATTGCATAAGTTTTTGCAGTCAATTGAAATCGAATCTAACATTTTTGCATGTTGAAAATGTGTATTTGGCCAAAGAGACACGATTCTGTATGGATGTCTATGCGTGGAGGAACCCTTAATCCCAAGGAGACGAGACTCAAGCTGCAGAGATGCCGAAGCGCTGCGGAGTTGTCCCAGTGAGAGGCCCTTGAATAGGTTCCTTCGAAGCGGAAACCGTGCAATTCAACTCCTGCAGATCAAAGTTGGGCCTTGGGGTAGATTGGATGCTTTTTGCCAGCAAACTTTGTCCGCGGGGCCCTAGGGAATAGCGTTGTTGACGCCACCCCATGGGTGAAGATAAAAATCTCTTCGGGTCGAGGTGTCGCAGTTTTTTCTGGGTTAGGCTTACGAGATCTGTCTCCCAAGGCGACAGATCCAAAACCAACAAGAGCATGTGTTTTGTAAGCAGCGGCTTGGTGTGTTAATGTGGCCTGGGTCTCCTTTTACGCCTGGACCCGAATGCAGAAATCTTCTCCACGCCTCCAGCTTCAACATCGGACCACTCCCATATGAATATATGTCTGTCGGGGAGAATTTCTCAAATCTGATTCCAATCTCGAGATCTGGTGTACGAAGGCGGGTAGCAGGCATCTCACGGATCAGGGGAATCGGAGCTGTCATGGGGGGAAAAGCTCATCATAGGCCACACCACTCCTACATGTACCTGGTGCAGGTGGTACATCATCCATAAAGGCAAAATTGTGAGCACGCTGCAAAGGGCGAAGCAGAGACCATCATATAGCATGTACACCGACAAAAGGACGTCAAGCAACAGAAAGAGTAGGCTTCTGTTGAACCACCAAAAAGCGTTTGAAGCACCTGTCCTGTCCAGTTCCTCAAGGCAGGCTAAGGCATGCTTTGCCGGCAATCTGTTGATCGAAAGCACCATCCGTGAGGAGATCATCAATGAGATCATCGAGAACGCAAAGCTGCAAAAACCCAATGCCACATAGACCGTCCGCATCCAGGAGGCCTTGGCAAGCTTCGAATCGACGATGGCCAGACCAGCTACAGTGATCGTCAAAACAAGCGCCCCCAGTATTCCAACAATTTCTGCATCCTTGACGACGACCTCCTGCTTGCGGAGCCATACGGGCTGCGCTTGCAGCAGGGTATGTATCTATCAATTTCCCGATTAGTCTCAGACATGCAACTCTCCCTTCAAGGAACCGATGCTTAAGTGGTTGGCAGCATGTGATTGAATCCCATCCTATAAGTTCATGTACTCAGCTCGTATCGTGCCGGGAAGTCCTTGAGTTTCTCCAGGTCGTCCCCGTGCGCATGCGAAACCGCCCTCCAGTAGTTGTTCATGGCAGACCCTAAACCCTACCTGGACCCTGTGAAAACCCCCTTGCAGCAGGCTTCTCTAACCCTGCTACCCTAAACCCTAAACCCTAACTCCAAAACTCTGAGCTTGCGAGGTAAAACAGCTGCCATCAAAGCTCGACTCATGCGGGGCTGCTGATCGGATTTATGAAACGAAATCATGTACAGAGCTATCATAATGGTCTATAGGGTTTAGGGTTGGGGTTGAGGGATTTGGCGTGGAACAGCACCTAGGCGACAGAATCTTGCGACAAGGCTGTGCCGAGTGCCTCGTACTATGGCGCTGAGCTGTGAAAGCCTATAACTATAAGCTTATCCTAGCAATAGAAAGCACGAAAAGCTTCAAAGACCTGGCTTAACCTGGAAAAGGCTTAGTGTGTAGGGCACTTCGGCACCTCCTCCAACAAGCTCTGAAATAGGATGCCGATGCCGAAGCATGTAGCCCGGTTTCTGGAAAGGATGTCGAAGAATCTACGGTTGCTGTTCTACCCGTCCCGTGTCTGCTGTGAGAAAGGTGGCTGCACCGAGAAAGTCATACGTCCCTGAGATTTTTAAAGGGAAGTTACACAACATAACTATGCTATGGGAATGTTGTCTGCAGTCCAGACAAAGCCCTAAACCCCCAAAATCCTAAACCCTACTAACCCTGAACCCACTAGACCCTGGACCCTAAACCCTAAACCCTAAACCTAAACCTAAACCCTAAACCCTAAACCCATTCCCCGTCCTTCACCACGAAGTTGCTGTAGAACGACTGCATGGGCGTGCGACGGAAGGGATGCGCCCGCAGCACGGCGTGAAGGCGGAAGGGCCCCCGGACCGGAAGCTTTGGGGTTTAGGCGGTTTAGGGCTAGGGTTTAGGACTAGGGTTTAGGGCTAGGGTTTAGGGCTAGGGTTTAGGGCTAACCCAAAACCCTAAACCCTAAACCGGGTTTAGGTTAAGCGGGCTTACAGGGCTTGAATGGTTTTGGGGCTCAAGGTTCTGTTCGAGGTAGGTGTTCAGAGTTCAGGGTGTTAGGATTGTTTTGTGTTGGCTTCAGGGTCTAGGGTTGAAGGGTTCCGGGTTGGGGATCCAAGGGTCTAAGTGCTCAAGGGCTCCTAAGGTGTGTTGGGGTCTGAGGGTGTAGGGTTGAGGCTCCGTCAGAGTTTGGGGTGTCTTGGTCAGCTTAACTTGAGACTTCGGACGTGGCGGCTGCAGTAGGGGTTCAAGACTCTGCGGGATGATTAACGACAAGATTTCGGGTTTAGGGGTTTTTAAGGCGTAAAAATCAGAAGAGGGTTTTAGGGGTTACTTCGTATACTTATATAGGGACCCGAAGGGAAGACTATTCGTACTTCTTCCGACCCCCGACATTCGGGGGTTTGGCTGGACTCACGGGTGTGGCTCCCTTGGCGGGTGCAAGCCCTAAGCTGTAGACCCAACGACCTTAAACTCGAAACCCGAAACCCGAAACCCGAAACCCTAAACCCTAAACCCTTCACACGCCGCTTGGTGGACCCTAGACCTTGCTTAAACCCTAACCACCCCCCCCCCGCCCCGAAATTCTTGAAAAAGATTCTCTCAAATAACACAGGGGTTGTAGGGTTTAGGGTTTGAGGGTTTAGGGTTTAGGCTTTAGGGTTTAGGGTTGAAAGTTTAAGGTTCCAGGATCCCCATCCTAAACCCGAAACCCTAAACCCGAAACCCGAAACCCTAAACTCACCCTGTTCTTCTGTGGGATTAAGCTCACGGGCGTGCTGAAAAAAAAATCCCGCCGGTCCGACATCTCGCGGACCGAACCCTAAACCCTAAACCCTAAAGCCATCTCCCCTTTACTGAGGGGGCTTAGACTCCCTGAGCCTGCACCCGAAAACCTGTTTGTTGCAACCCCAAACCCTAAACCCTAAACCCGAAACGTTTCCGACTTCGGCTTCACGGGCGAGTCGAACTTCGCAATCAACCATGAGCTTTCCCCCCCTAGGGGTTAAGGGATAGGGGTTTAGGGTTTGGGGTTTGGGGTTTAGGGTTTAGGGTTTAGGGTTTAGGGTTTAGGGTTTAGGGTTTGGGGTTTAGGGTTTAGGGTTTAGGGTTTAGGGTTTAGGGTTTAGGGTTTAGGGTTTAGGGTTTAGGGTTTAGGGTTTAGGGTTTAGGGTTTAGGGTTTAGGGTTTAGGGTTTAGGGTTTAGGGTTTAGGGTTTAGGGCCGTTAGCCCAGCAACCCGAGATCCGAAGACTCTGAGCCTTGAATCCGAAAGCGGCACCCCCAAGCGCTCACCCCGGTCAGGCTCCATGGCTTTACGGTTTAAGGTTTAGGGTTGAGGGTTCAGGGTTCAGGATTAGGGGTGAAGCCCTTATCCCCAAGGCTCCCCCAACCACCAAAGCCCTACCCGCACTCGACCTCGCCCAACTCGGGCACAGCGTCGGCGACGAGGCCTACACGTAGTGCCCGAAACCCTAAACCCTCAACCCTTGCTAAACTCGAACGTCCTACACAAATGGAACCTACCAAATGCTCGTGTCGTGCTCAGTATAGGGTTTAGGGTTTAGGGTTTAGGGTTTAGGGTTTAGGGTTTAGGGCTTAGGGTTTAGGGTTTAGGGTTTAGGGTTTAGGGTTTAGGGTTTAGGGGAGTAGGTCCCTGGACCCAAGCACTTTGGACCACGGGGCTGTGCTGGTTAAACACTCAAACCCTGAAACTCTCTCTCTCTCTCTCTCTCTCGCTTTTTCTCTCTCTACAACCTAAACCCATGGAGCCTGAACCCTAAGATCTTGAACCCCAACGCCCTTCAACCTCCGGCCCTCAAGCCTTTTGCGCCTTGGCTGTTGGTTGTGCTAGGCTAGTCCTAAACCCTTAAACCCTTACACCCAGCCCTGCCTTGAACTGTGCAGCATCAAGCCATTGGCTTGACGTGGTCGTTTCCGAAATTGTGATTATAAGGGAGCTCTACTCGTTGGGGGTTCCCCTATTTTCGTAAACCCCCATGTACACCGGCAAACAGGCAGCGTGCCCAGGGTGGGGGTTGTTCCAACCTTCCACTTGAGATCTCGTTTCAAACCCCCTCTGCCCTGCCGGCCTCTTGCTTGGAGCGCGGACTCCTCACGGCCCGACAGACAGTCTACGTAGGGCCTAGGTGATTTTTCCGGTGTTCAGGGTTTGGGCTTTAGAGTTTAGGGGTTTAGGGTTTAGGGTTTCGGGTTGTAGGGTCCATGTCAAAGCCGTACCCGTTGCGGCCCCTTTGAATGTGGAAGCCAGCGAAAAACTTCTAAAGCCATTAGCCGGAACCCTAAACACTCAACCCTCAGTCCCAAATCCTAAACCCTGACCCCCTCAACCCCTTGAACCTAAACCCGCTAAGCCTACACCTCCTAAGCCATACACCCCCTAAACCTAAAACCTCAGTCTTGAGTGACACAAAAGTTTGACCTTTAGGCTCCTTCTTGTAGTTTCTACAATACCCAAAAGGTTGCACTCCTAAGAGCCAACCAGAAGAAAGCAGTGAGATCCGAAGAGCCACCTCCTTGACCGGCTCGTCTTTCGCGGCAGGCGGCCTCGAGGAACTCCGGAGCAGCTGGGGGCTGGGGGCTTGGAAGGTCAGGGTTTAGGGTCTAAGGCTGTTGTGGTTTGGAATTTCGGGCTTAGAGTTTGGGGTCTAGGGATTTTTGCATGCATGCATACATACATACACACATGCATTTCTCTCAGTCAACCTATACAATAGAAGTTAGTAATCGAGAAGACATTCTATTACCACATACCTATGCAGATGGACATGCATATACATACGCCCTGAACAGGCTACGGTTCAACCAATCAGGACTGAGGGGTTGCGTGAATCTAGGGGGTCAAGGCCTGAAGATGTATACTTAAACCCTAGACCCTAAAACCCAAAACCCAAACCACCCCAAACCCTAGCCCTAAACCCTAAACCCCAAACCCTAAACCCTAAACCCTAAGCCCCCAAACCCTAAACCCTAAACCCTAAACCCTGAACCTTCTTGGGGTTTAGGGCTTCGGGCCAAGGGCGGGATGCGCGCAGCAGGCCTCTCGGACTCCGACACGACCTGGGCACATTTTTCCGGCCACTAGGGCTTAGGGTTTGGGGTTTGGGGTTTGGGGTTTGGGGTTTAGGGGTTTAGGGGTTTAGGGGTTTAGGGGTTTAGGGGTTTAGGGGTTTAGGGTTTAGGGTTTAGGGTTTAGGGTTTAGGGTTTAGGGTTTAGGGTTTAGGGTTTAGGGTTTAGGGTTTAGGGTTGCGGGTTGAGGGTTTAGGGTTTAGGGTTTAGGGTTTAGGGTTTAGGGTTTAGGGTTTAGGGCTTGGGGTGTTGACTTCAGCATGGGGGGGTCTTCGGGGTTTCGGGTTCAGGGTTTAGGGTTTAGCAGCTTCGAGTTTAGGGTTTAGGGCTTAGGGCTTAAGGCTTCGGGCTTCGGGCTTCGGGCTTAGGGCGTAGGGCTTAGGGCTTCGGGCTTCGGGCTCCCTTGTAAAGGACTCTGTGTTTTAAGGGGTAGAAGGAGGGACCCCTAGAAGGGACCCTCAATCTTATGCCCCTTTACAACCCCTAAATAGCCCGCACATATAACTTATATACTCCCTATATACCTCAATACACCTAAATAACCTCCTTCAGCCCCTAGAGTGCTGAAAAATGCTGATCCTGGGCGCTCT